TCTCGACTCATGTGTTTCTTGGAAGGCTGTGGCCACCAGAACCTTTGCGGTCTATAGGACAGTGTAAATCTACACTGCGAGCATTGCATCTTTATTGGGATTGGCAAGGATTTGCCATCTGACTTTCACGCTGAAACCATCTAGGGTTCAAAAGCAGGGACACAAGCCAGAAGTGAAAAAAAAGGATCGTGTTCGTGTTGCAAGTCAAGAACTGGTCGCATTTTTGAGATGTGGTGCAACTTACTTCTGGTTCTCACCTGGTGGTTCAATATCCCAGCTACCAAACACCGCTGCCACTACTTTAGTCAATTCCGAAAGAGTCAAGTTACAGCGGCAACATCCAGCCCCCGCAGGTTGAATGCCGAAACGTGCTCGGCAATTCTCTCCTGGCTTCACTTTGGATCGTGCTGCTGGCCAGTTTCAAACCAATCCTGGGTTGTGGATCGGCTGCAGCAGGTTTTGGAATGTGGGAAATGCTTCACAGCGCATGAGCTTCAACACACCTTTACAATAAATGTGCAGATCTTCTGACCGGACAACCATTGAAGATTATCCACTCGAAACATGAAGAAGCTGCGTCCAGTTTCAAAGTGATGGGTTCTTCTGGGAACTGATAACAAGCCTGCCATCTTCCTCAATGCTTGATTGCTATGATGGAATGCGGATCTGCAGTTTTGCTTTCAGGGATTGATGGAATGAACTGCGGAAAATCACAAAGTGCAGCGATACCTGACAGCCTTTTTTGCTCGGGCCCCGAAGACTGAAATCTCAGCCATGACGAGGCGCATGACAGAAGCCATGCTAGCGCAGCTGGTTGCCAGGCTGGAATGTCTTCAAGCGCCCAAAGATCCTTGGTGGATTTTGCTTGGAGTGGCTGGATGGTAAACGTGTGTCCAAACAGTGAGACATCCTTCCCACATGCACACCCATAGCGACTGTCACCGGGTCAACACTTTCTCCCAGGTTGAATGTTCTCCAGGGATGGATCATTGGTGCTGAAGGCAGCTGCCCCCCTAGCAAATTCCAATGGTTGTTCAATTTTTTGGTTGCGGTTGAGAGGACACAAATGCAAGCTGCCCTGTACTTTCTCGAGCCCCCACACAGCAAGGGGGTGGGGAGGGTTCGTGGGGTTTGCATTCTTTCAACTTCCCAAGAGAGGTCAAGAGGCTAGGACGGGGCCATGATGCAAGAAATGCGGGCCCCAAACCGCGTTCTTCTTAATCCTTATTTCGGGATTAAGAAGAACGCGGTTTGGGGCCCGCATTTCTTGCATCATGGCCCCGAAGACACAAAACTGATGCAGACGGTAAGGGTCTTGTTGACCTCTCCTTCTTGGCATGGCAACTATACTTTAATAATCGTATGGTGCGTGCCCCTGACCCAGTCGAAAATTGCAATCTTGGCAGTGAGCAAAACCATCATCTTTGGTCTCCCCACCTCTCTTTGTTTTCATGCCTAGATTTCACATGAACGCAGGAAAAGCCTTGGACCCACAAACCCACTTCGTTCGATGCTTACGTGTGGAGGCCCAAGGTCTGTATATGTGCCAAGCTCAGGCATTTGTTGCGCTGGTGGTGCTGGTGCACTTCACTGGAAACCTCGGTGGCTTTGACCAGGCTCCTTGGAATGTCGCAGGGCCTCTGAACATCTTTCATTTTATGAATATGGATCGCTCAAACAAAGCCAATCCACTTCCCACCTGTGCTACATGTGCACAGGGCTTCGGGGTCAAACATGGTTCCCCTGAAGGAGATCCAGTACTTGGAGATGTTTGCTGGAGCTGCTAATGTGTGGCGGTGTGTCACACAATCCTATCCTGCCGCACGAGTTGATCTGACTTACGCTGATCAAAATGGTGAACCTAACTTGAAACAGAATCCTATGGATTTCTTATCATGCCCAGGTTTTGCGACAACCAACTGAATTGTGTAAATCACTTTTTGTTGGACGCTGCATGCATGAGGCCAATGACTGCATAACAGGCTTCGTTGATTGAAACGTAGTAAGGGGGGCCCCAAGCAAAACACACGCAACTATAAGGATCTGCATTTGGTTGGTGCTTCAGTGCGCCGAGCAAGATTTCTTCAGCCTACTTGCTGTGGTCTGTTCTTCATGGTCACCAGTGAACATTGCCACTTCGAAGCGAAGTGTTGCCTACCCATCAGGAAACACTGCGTTAGCATATGTGGCAGAAGCCAACTGCATGTGCGCGCGGTGTCTTTGTTTGCAAATATGTGTGACTGCTGCGATGTTTGGCCACTCCTTATTTGCTATAGCTCATGTTTTTGGGCCCGACTGAGTGTGCACTAGCTAAGTTCCGTCCTTATTGCTCTCCTCATCGCTGCGCGTGGTGGGACGTTTTTCGTGGAGCAACCCGGTGGATCATACATGGAGTACTATGACAAAATGCAATGGCTTTTTGACAGGTTGCCAGTGTCCTGGCATCAATGTGCTGTGTGCGTGCGCGCATAGAGTTCCACGCATCCTCATCCGGTCTAACTTAACAGGGCTGAGACCACCATGTTTTCATGTGCAGGCTCTCTTCAAACGAAGACGTGCCGACCTATTATTGAATTCTACAGCCGGAGCTACTAAGGTCTACAAAGTGCGCTGGTGGATGGGGCACTACGGACATGTTTCCCCAAAGCGTCACAAGGCATTCACCAACAACAAATGGGCGGCCAAGTTCAATCTAGGAAAGATGAAGCTCAAGAGGTTCCGTGCATCCCAGGACCCTCAGGACAAGCCAACTGTTCGATATGTGGACAAGCGTGGCCGCAGTCGTTTCCATGGAAATGCCTCGTTGAAGCTTTCCCAGTGGCCTGGTGTGATTGGGAGGGAACCAAAAAGTGAGCCACATTCATCAGATCCCTTTTCTATTGATCCCAAACATGGACTTGCCCACGAGTGTGCAGCTTCCTTCCTGCCAAGGGTCTACCCTGTGCGATTCGGCTGGAAGACGGTGGAGCTGATGCCGAAGCTCAAATCCAGAGGCCAAGGGAGGCCAGTTCTTCCTGAGACACTGCCGAGTGGCCCCGAGATCTTCAATGCCATGTCTTGGCATACTGAGAAAGATTGGAGTGACGCCCGCCTAAAGCCAGTGCTAGTCTACTTGAAGGGCAACAGATCCCTCAACCTCCCAGATAGCTGGAAGGCGGTTTTCCCACGGCACGTTTGATTCCCCACCATTCTTGTTTGAAGACCACTCCCAATCATTTATGTTTGTCCCAGGGTCCCCTGTAGTGATCCAATTTGGATCTTAGGGCTTTCTAGCATGAACTCAACGAAGGTCCACGGTGTTTTTGGCGCCGGTTTGGAGGGCAAACCAATCCAAACATTCATTTACTCTTCACTTATGGCTCATACCGACTAGAACCTGTCCAAACCCGTTCGGACCGTTTGAACCCGTTCGGAGCCGTTCGGAGGGATCCCAAAAGGCAACATTTTTACACCTTTAGGGACGTTCGAACCCAAACCCGTAATCGCTAAAAGGCGTACCCGTTCAAAAGCCGTTCAAAAGCCGTTCGGTAGGCGTTCGGGAAGGCAACATTTTGTTGCCTTTTTGAGTCCTGGAAACCACGCCCCAAAGGATGATTTTGGAGGGTCCTCTAGGCCTCACGATGGACGTTTTGATAGGAGTGGGAGATCAAAGCCTGGGGTTCTTCTAAGTCTAATTAGATTTCTTGGTGCCTCAAAAATTCAATGGCAACTGTGCAAACAGCTGGAAGCACACGACCTTGAAATCCAAAGGGGTTTGGTGATGTATTAAGACGTTTGTCCTGGCAATATATCAACTCCAACTGATGAAATACCGTTGAATCTGCGTGTTTTAGGTCTTCATTTGTGCTACTGCTGTTTGATCGCTACCGTAGAACTCGGCAACAATGTTGCAGGAGCTGACAGTGGCACTTGGACAGGTTGAAAAGTGTTTTCAATTGCGGTGCACTCCACCAGATCCACCTCCTCGTGTCAATGCCAATGTCTTTGAAACGACTGATTGTCAGTTAGGATTTTCCATGCCAACAAACTCAACATATGATTCTTGAATGTTGGCCATCGGTGGTCAACATCCGGCTTTCGGTCGAAGCATTTGGGTTTTGTAGCCAGCTAGGGTTTGCAGTCCAGACTCGCAGCTGCGGCTTTTTCTTTTTGGGATGGCCACCTCACTGCGCAGCAATCAATGGAGCTGCAGTGAATTGGTGAAAGGGGCTGCCCTATGTGCTGACATGGCCGGTATGGAGCTACGGGTAAACCCGAACACTTTGTCAAGGGATGAGCTTCTTCAGTCGATCAAGGACTGTCTGTTTCATCAATAATACAGTTATCCATCATGTACAAGCCCAACCATATATGATTGGGCATGATTGGACCATATTGGACCAGTTTTCTCCCCTGAAGGAAGCCAAAGCACTGATGAATAATCAACAGGTGGGACCATCTGGCAAAACAAATGGAACACACATGAGTATAGACCACGCTTTACATCTTGATGTTGGCTTCTGATCATTGTCAACTGATTGCCATATTTTGCAATGCAGGCTTCAGCACCCAAATTCCTGGTCCCGAAGGAGGAGATTCCAGATACTGTACCCGCTGTGGTCTGGCAAGTTTCCCAACCAAAAATCTCAACACACCGTTCTTTTTTGACATTGGAATTTAATGGAATTTAGCCGTGACACGGCGCCCAGGCCCAGGAGGAGATCGATGCAATGTTTGCTCAGCCGGTGGACAGCTCCAAGGCCGCGATCGAAAGTGGGATCGCTGTGCCTTAGATGCATGACTGTGAAAGCTCTACACAGAAACTGAACGTTATTCAAATCATAGTTTGTCTTAGTCCCAGTCTGTACAAGGCTCCTATGAGCAATTCCGATCCTGGGAGTGTTCCATCGATGGCGGAATCGATGGCGGACAAGGACATGAGGGATGATGGCACTGACCCTATCCCCTTGAAACGTCCAGAGCGCCCTGTGACTGAGAAAGTGTCCCCAGAGAAGAAACTTCCGAAGATGAACTCGACAGCACCAGCGCCACCCAGTGACACAAACATTGGGCCTAAGGCTTTGAACTTTGATGGGGAGGGAAAGGGGGAGTCCACTAGTGGATCTGCTGGCCACATCTCTCCACCTCCTCCTGGCCTTGCGTTGTCACAACCTGGTGTGAGCCTGGACTCAGCCGCTGTGGCCGCTTTGCTTCAAAGGATTTCAGACCTGGAAGCTCAGGTGAAATCCAAGCCACAACCTCCCCAGGATTCTCTGACGACCCCACCTGTGAAAGCTAAGAGTGTCGAATCCCCGCCCAGTGCTTCGACTACTGCCACAGCTTCTTCAGGCACATGTCAGGACAAGACTGCTGAGGATTCAGAGGACAAAGTCCAAGACACAGAAAATGGAGATCTTCTGGTAATGCCCTCTGGCAACGCTGTGGCTTGGTTGTGAAACATATGATGCACATGCAGTGTCTCGGGTTGCAAACTGTTTTATAAGAAAACAAGCAGCCCATACACTGATATCCTTGACCAACTTACTGCTGGAAAGCAATGCGTACCATGGCAACTCAGCAGCCAAGGTGATGACACACGATGCACTTCGAATGAGATTGCGTCGTTTGTGTGAAATCAAACCTAAATCCAAAAAGTGTCATGTAGATGATGCAACGCATGAGCTTTACAAAAAGGGGAGGGAAGCACGAGAATGGCTGGAGATTGCCTTGGCAGAATCGATTGAACGCCTGGGCAGTGAGAAGAATAACCACAAAAAGATGAGATCCCCTTGGTGCCAAGTTGCGTGAAATTGTGGAGTCCAAGCTTTCCAGACTGGATGTTCTCGTCCATCATGTTCTGCGTATCTTTCACCTTGCTTGGCTGCAAGGTGGAGTTTGCCGCCAGGGTTGTGGTGGTTCGTGAGAGGATGGAGACAAAGGAGAAGGAATCCACGGGGATGTCAGCGTTTCATGGCTGTATATATATGCCAAAAGAGGAAAGCAATTGATATCTTTTTGTAAGTATTTTTGTATATAAGCATTGGTGAACCAGTCGCCAACTAAGGGCAGAGATTCGTTCAATCATCGCCTATTGCTCTCGATTCCCTCAAGCCTTGGTTCAGTGAATCTTGCATGTTTATCCTGTCTGTTTGCCAATGCAGGCTACCCCAACCACAGACTGTGAGTTCGATCTTTTGGAATGCCAGTCCTTGGAAGTACGACCCCAATGTCAAGGAATACTTTGTGGAAACGGAGACCAAGCAAACCATCAGACAATCGGAGATGCGAAAGCAAACCGAAATCTCTGATCGGGGGGGGATGCTTGCACGCAAAAAAGTATGCATGAAAAAAGCTGCTCATCCATGTGTTTTTTTTACACTGGTTCTCCAACCATCTCAGGATCAGGAGCATCAAGAGCCTATCGATGCACCTGCCGAGCTAGCCCTGGCTGATGAGACTGGACACTCCCCAGAACCTGAGAAGATGGGGGACAAGGTTGATAATTTTTGACGTGTGTATTTCTCATGTGCTTCCATACCAAATGCTTCTGCACTTTGATCTTGAGATCCCAAATCCCCCCAAAACTGGAAATACAAAATCCCTCGGGGATTCAATGTCAATACCTTGTGCCCAAATCTGGAGGCACTACCAGATTTGCAGAAGTTCATGGACAGCATCCACGGCCGCATCATGCAGTGCCACAAGCTTTCTCAAGCAGTGGAGACTGATGCTGGGGAGACACCTGCTGGAAAGGAGCCCCTTGGTATTGGAAATTCTTGGGACCATGTTGGATTGGTGTCCAAGTCTTGCAAATCGATATCGCAACACCCTTGCCTTCTTTCCATGGGAGGATAGCCTTTGGTGTTATTGGAGCACGAATCTCAGGTTGATCAAAGACTTCAAGCGCATCACCGACCAGTTGGCGACAAGCTTCCGAGCTCTTGCAGAGCTGAAAGCGGAGCTCCTCCTGAATGAAGAGGCTGAAAGTACGGATGAGTTGCTTGGCTGCCAGGATCATGTCTATAGATCTAGGGAGCCTTCAGTGTGGATATGCTATCCGCACAGCACCACAACAAGTCACATTAGGATGTTATGGCATTTGGCTCAATCAAATTTCCAGGCCTCCATTCTAGCCAAGTTGAGGGTCTCCAGTCACAAGGGGTTCTTGCGCGTTACAAAAAACAAAGTCCCAGTTGAAATGAACAACTCCTGGTGGATTTGCATCACGGGGTCGCATAGTCAATATAGGCATAGCTTGAGAGATGCCTAGCAGTGACGCTGATGATTCGGAGACATGGCTTCTCGAGCTGATCAACTACAACCGGCAGGTCCATTGGCCGCAGTTCAATGCAAAAAGTTGTGCGTCTCTATACCCATGGCAAAATGTCTAGCTTACCCCATCCGCGTGCAATTTCCATCAAGCTCAGGCCTCTTCTTCCTCGTTGGTATCTTCGCCAGAGCAAAGCAAAGCTCAAGTGCCTCAGGTCTGGGGTTGTGAGGGGTCCTAGGGTCCTACCGTGACATCCGCAACCTTTTCAACTTGTTTGGGATGTTTGAACCATTTCGAACCCCTTTCTCGCTTTCTGGCCCTGAAAGGAGTTGAAAAAGCACATTGATGAGACCCTTTGGAATATAGAACGTGCTCCTCAGTGCTTTAGCAATTTACTTGCTGACTGGCAGTTGGAATGCCAACTTCCAAAGAAGGGTTCTTCCACAGGCACTGTAGTGCGGCATGCCATTGAAACCTTTGAGAAGATCTTGCGCAAACACGGGCCCATGGTCTTCAAGTTTGGTTGGACCCATGATGCCCATTGTCGTTTCAGAAACCCAAAATTTGGCTATGTCGTGGATCCACACCAGAGATGGCAAACTATGGTGGTAGTATTTGCATCCCATGAGTCTATTGGCCCAGCCTTTTTGGAAGCTTTCCTCATCGAAAAGTTCCAGGGTCACTCAAATCAAGAGTAACAACGTTTTCTTTGCTAGCATAGGGGTTCACAGCTCACATAGGGTTACCCATATCCACGGCCGCCCTGTCCAAGGTACACCTGGATGCCGCAATGTACGTTCTGGTGGTGACACCATCATTGACCGAGGAGGACCGTTCTTCACCTATGTTGTTTACCAATCATTTAAATTCCCACCCAGTGGGGCAAGGAGTGTTCGGTCAAGAGCCGAACCGTATCATGTGTGATTTGACACGGATACTGTTTCCACCACAATTGCAATTGCATGCCCTAGAATCGTGGGCAAACAAAATTATTGGCCAATCCAAAGGCTGAGTCGCACGAGAAGAAAGATATGTTGAGTGCGATGGTGAAGCATACAACTGTTTTTTAAATGTGCATGACCTCTACACTTGAGAAGGCTTACCATACAATCAGCCCAGCCCAGGTTGAAAGATCGCATAGCGAAGGTGAAGGCCACAGCCAAGAAGCCGCGCCATAGCTGCAAGCACATCTTTCCTCAGCATCCCAGCACACTTGATAAAGCCAATGCAGTAGGGTCGAAAACAAATGCGTTCCTGGGAAAAACTGACTGAATGAGTGGATGGGTTGAAAGTGAGGTGTGCTGATCTCATTGCGATTGAACCACGGCAGAAGTTTCTTGGCTGAAACACAAAGCTGGCTGTCACCACAAAACTTGCCCAGAGTTGTACTTGGGTTGAGGGTTGGTTGTCACTTGTTCTTGATGCAAACACGATCTACTGTACTTTAGGGTCCCTTTCAATTCTGCTGGCCAGGCTGCTTCTGGCCGACTTCAAGAAGAGCGGCAAGACAGACAAAAACGCAGCTACTTCTGCTGATGGTGTTGAGGCTGCTGCGAAGCCGAAGGCAAAACCCAAGGCTAAGGGGAAATCAAAGAGCCAAAAGGAGGCTCAGGCTTAGTTTGGGGATGCAGCCCATGGTGTAAAAAGAGCGTGTCTATACTCTTCCCCAAAAAAATGATTTGTTCCTTATTGCAATGTTCTTCATCTCGGGCTTCGTTGTATTCCTGAAGGCTGCTGAAGGTAGGGCATCTTTTCTTCTACTCTGGGCCCAATTTTCAGTCAGGTTTTGAGAGTTTTCTTTCTCATGGTTTCATCGCTGCTTTACATTGGGTCCAGGTATTTTGCGTGTGAGGTTCAAGATTGCAGAGCCTTACAGGGGCCCACGAGAGCCAACGTAGGGGCAATCACAATGAAAGAACATCATCCATCACTGAAGAGAAGTGGTGAGTCAATCTTAGGCGTGTGATTGACTGCTGCTGCGGATGACGGAGCCAAAAGTGTGCGCGCCATGCAGGAAATCAAAGGTTGTGGAAAGGCAAACCCTCGTCCAACCGAGCCAGGTCCATCCAATGCAGCTGTGGATCTAGCTTGGAGCTACTCCAAAGGAGTTGCTGGGCAGCACAAGCCAGGCCATTGCTGCAATGGTGGCACAGTTCAATGGCAACTTGAAGTCTTTGTGGATCATCCTCCCATATGTTCCAGCCCTCATGTTGGCCCATCCGTGCATCGGTCAAAACTTGGGGTGTGTGTGAGGCTAGTGCTGGAGACATCATTCAGAGAGCGACTTCGACCATTGACTATGACCTCAGAGAGGGGGGTTGCAAAACTGCTACCTCGCGAATCTGCCCAGTGTTGCGAGCATTGTACCGGGGGAATGAAAAACATTCTGCTGCCTGGTAGGCAAAACACATCAAATATGGTTTTGCTTGACCCTTTCCCGAAACATATTTTTGACTTCAGGTCATTATGTTGGGGTCTAGTCCAGTAAGGGTTCTAGTTCTGTCGGTGTCGTGCTGCCCAAGGAAGAACTGGTCGCACGAACGCTGGCTCAACATCACTTGCGCTTGGATGTTGACATCAGTTCAGGGCATGTGGGCGCAGACCGGAATTACCCATATATCAAAGTTACATCCTGGGTCAAAGCTTTGGACAAACATCGCAAACTTGAGAAGCTGTTTGGATTGGGGCCCCAGTTTGACACTTTGACCAAGTGTGGTCCTACTTTGTTGGATTTTTGGGCAAAGTTCCGAGCATTGAACCCTGGGCATGAAGTCTTCACATTAGCTGACCAGGGGGGCTTTCAGTTTGAATGCAGCTCTACCGGTGGTCATCCACGGTGACGAAGGTACCACATACAAAAAAGATGGATGCTTAGTTTTCAGCTTCCACAGCATCATTGGTTGTGGCACTATCTCCAACAAATTGGGCCCAGTGGTGGATGGCGACGCGGTGGATCCACATACGAACTTTGTTGGCCACGCTTTCCAAACACGATTTCTTTTGGGGTCACTCTTGAGAGACTCTTGGCACCACATTTGTATCAATGGTTTCATGGATAGTATTACCACCTTTTTTCTTCTGGTTTGCACATCCTTGCATCAATGTCACACATCTGACTCGATCAGGAAAACTACAGAGATGACTACACCCCATATTTTGAGCTCATGCAACTGGTGCTGCAATCGCTGGATGAGGCTACCCGAGCAGGTGTCCAGTTGAGGTGTGGTGAGCGGGTGTATGTGATACCGGTCGGGAATGTTGGTGATTGGCCCTACTTGGCTGCCTGGTTTGTAAACACAACCAAACTGTGTCACCCCAACCTTCAAACCATGTTGAATGGTAGTAATGGCACAAATAACAATTGCAACTGCATGTGGATTCATATGCGTGCTTCTTTCCCGGAAGTGTGCCCCCCAAGGCTACCAGTGCTGGGATGAACAGAAGCTACAGAAATGTTCCTAAACGGGCCAGCAGCCAGTCAGATTGTACTGGCATATGTCACCTGTGCCTCGCTGGACGTCCAGGCTTCCCCTATGAAGACCTGCTTCTTCGCGATCAATTCGTTGTCTTTGGTATGTTTGAATTAGCGACTTTAGGGTTTGTACGCCTACAACACCACATTTAAGGCCTGCTTGTCCCTTTGCAGCTGTGACTGGCTCAGGTCTTCTGATGTTCCATCGTTTCTGGCTACGCTGGGTCGGGAGCCTGCTTGGGAGGAAGAGCCGCTCTTTACTCGCATTCTTCTTCATGACCCCGGAAAGAAGGAGGATTTCCACAAGATCGATTTGTTTCATACGATCTCTTTGGGTATGGCTAAGTCTTTTGCAGCGTCAGCGATCAGCATTGTCCAAGAGTTGCTTGCAGGCAGTTCCATAGAGCAAAGGATGAAGGAAATCTCAAGCATGTACATCGAGTACTGTAAAGATATCAGGCTGCAGTGTTGAGTGCTTTGTTTTTTCCCCATTTGTAAGCTGGCAAGTTGGGTTTCAGGATTGCATGTTTTTTGGGGGTGTGGTGCCTTAAGTGCAAGGAACACCAAAAAAAACAGCTATGTGCAAAAGATTGACAGGGCCATGCTTGGATGGACTGGCTCTCAAGAGCCTGTTGGGGGTTGGTCCAAAGCTGCGCTCACCGCCACGCTATGCCAGTTTTTGGAGCATTTCTGTCAGGTCTAGAGGTTGATCCTGATGATGAAATGCATTGACTGATAGTACCATGGTTCTAAGTTTCAACCATGGTTCTTTGTTTTCGCGTTGGAGAGCCAGTACGCAACAGGAGAGCCAGCTCTGCCATGGGGAACATGGCTGTCGGTTGAATTCCAGAGGAGGTGACCTTTGGAAGTGATCGAAAGCCATGGGCATGCAGGATCGCACTGAAGCTGAAAACTCGTCAGTTCGGTCGGATTCTTGGACTGAGGGCTGACAATCTGCTGCGATGGAGTGCTGTCCAAACCCCAGAACTTGAAGAATACAGTCTGTTCACCATAAGAAAA